TACATGATGTCATTAACTATGTTTTCAGATATCCCTACTACTACGATGATGAAAAACTGCAGTTGCTTATCATAGTGTCAACCTTAATTTTCCATCTGTTAAAACTACTTATAAACTTGATCCAATACAGTCTGGTATTTATATGTAACATATTGAAGTAACAAAGTGTCATGCATATATAATTATTTTAGATTTGGATATATTGTTAATGTTTACATCAGGACAATCCAGCTTTTTGTTTAACTGTACTTCTCTTCCTTTTTTAATTGTAATCTACTGGTGTGAGGGAAAGTTTAAAATATAATCATGTAAAGTATCATACATATACTTCACATAAACAGAATTATTTTTGCTTTGGATATATTTCCATGTTTTGTGTCAGGACAATCCAGCTATTTTGTAGCCACATTTTTTTTTTTACTTGCAATCTTTTGGTATGTGGTAAAAGAATAAAATTATATAATGAATGGGTGGTCAACTCCATTGACGGCACCATGTTAATGACTCTTGGGAATTATTTATCATATATTAAAGGTAGTGAATACATGCATTAATATTTTTTATACAAAAAAATTGTATTGTCTTATGAACATTGAACTATATAAAGGACTCTCTTCTGAAATCTCTTAGTTAACTGTTAATCAATACTATAAATTCTCTCATGGAGATGAATTATTATTCAATAACTATATGACATGATGAATTAAACAATAATTGAAATTATTAATTCATTAAATCAACTTTTTACAGAAATAGCATGACAGTTTCCAAGTTTTTAAATGCTTATTTTTTCATGCTATTTGCATAACTAGTATGCAGCTGAATGCCATACCCAAAACCAAAATTCATGGCTTTTCGCTACTTTACTAGTGAAAAAATAATGTTAAAGTTTATCTTCACCTACCTTTTTAAACAACAGTTTTTTTAACAGACATCATTAGAAGTTACTTTTTATTTTCAAATAGTCAAAAACAATATTCTTTTTCAGAATTTCAGTCATCAGTGTAAATGTTAAGTGTGCCATTTTATAATATCAGAAAATATAAACATACCAATGAAATATTAAACCATTCTTCTGATGAAAATTTTAAAAAATACAAAAACAGTTTTATTTTATAAAATAAATTTTTAAAAAAATCCCTTCATCTCAAGCTTTCTTTCTCCCAAAAGTGAATAAAATCTCTTATTATTTTCACCACTTCTGATACTTGAAAAACATTTTGCAGTATTCGAAAGGCCAATTAAAAATACTTCAATACTATACGATAGTATATAATCAATACTATACGATAGTATATACTAGTATATAATCGAATACTGCAAAATGTTTTGCTAATGAAATTTCTTGTACATTATTATATAATCTGTTCAACAAAATTTCTTTTCCTAGCACACATCCATTGTCAAACCTTTATGTCTTTTTACATTTTATGTCTGAAAAGCTCTGTATTCTATATTCTTTGCTAGCTATATCCTTTAAAAGTTTATTATTAATTTGAAATTGTATAGGCATACAAAGTTTATTTTGTTTTATCCAGTTTTGTTACCCAGCAATGAACAAATTAAATTAACCCCTACAAATGTCCCACAGTACTTTTTCATCTCCCATGCAATCATTTTGTCACATGACCAAACAAGTGACGCATTACTTATCATTCAGCCAGCTGCGATTCAGCTTTTTCTCAGCAAGGGGTACAGTAAATATATGTTAGGAACACATATCTTGGGTTACCTGGAACTATCGCTGCTTATCATCTTTACCAGATTTCAAAACTTCATGAATACTAACTCTATAATTTCTCCTACTGAATTTGGATTCCATGAAAAACATTCTACTACTCATTGAATTCTTTCCATTATCAAACACATCAGTATAAATTTTAATAATAAAGAATTTGTCACTGGCTGCTCCCTCTTCATCAAAAAAGCCTCTGAAAAATTATGGCATCTTGGCCTACATAATTATAAATTATAATTTTCTTACTTACCTTATGAAAATCATCAGTAGTTAAATTCATGATTAAAATCAAGAACATTCTTTCTCCTCATAAGTGAATTTAAGGTGGTGTTCCACAAGGCTTCGTTCTTTATACTCTACTCTTCAATATATTTATAAATGACTTGTCTAACCCTCATCGTAATCCTGTCGCCTAATCTGCAGATGATACAGCTCTGTTACGCAAGTCATGCAGCCCTGACATTGTTTTTCAAATTCTTGAGAATGCACATAATGAAGGGCATAACTGATGCAACCCTCCTACATAAGCAACACCCTTCTAAATCTGTTGCAGTTCTTTTTCCATATTAATAAAACTAGCTACAATTTACAACTGAAAAATACACAAGTCTTATTCAACAATTCAGTAAAATATATGGGCATGTATCTGGGCAATAAATTAAACTTTGACTAGCATATAAATAACATCTGAATCAAGGCACACAAAGCTTCCATGGCAGTTTATCCTCAACTAAAAAGAAACTCTCACCTAAGCATTGAAAATAAAAGATTTATTTATCTAAGTAATGATTAAGCCTGCCAAACTGTATGCAGCCCCACCATGGGTGGGGACCTCAAGCCGAAACAGAAACAAGTTACAAATACAATAAAATAAGTTTTTTCTCATCATCTCTCATGAGCCTCGGTAGTGCAGTAGGCAGCACGTCAGTCTCATAATAATCATCTCTATTGCCCCATGGTTTCTATGAAACAGTATTATCCATGCTGACCTCACAATCCCCACCACTGAAGAGGAGGTTTCAAAAACTCGCCAAAAATTGTTTCACAACCATGCTGATTCTAACTTTAAGGATTATAACTTTTATTTAACTTTTAGAGATCATAAATTATTACCATGCAGATTTGCAGAAGTACAGATGACCTTGTACTTTACATCAACCGAAATCAACCTGAAGTCTGAATTACTACCATGCTTTTCAACATTTAGCAGAACAGATAGAGTTCTCACCTCGAAACTGTCAGATCTAGAGTTCGAGTGCCGTTTTTTTCTCTGACTTTTCTCCCATTTTTACTTATACATATTTAACCAAGCCTTTTTGTACAACTATTTATCCAAGATTCTTTTATTTATGCATTATGTTTTTGTAAATATTGTACAAAGTCTTAATACCCGAGATTTTTTTATATCTTACTCAAATGTAATTTTAAATTTAAGCAATGACTACTGTTTATCATCTCAGTGACTTTTAAGATTAATCTTCGCCTTTTAGGTGGCTTTGTGCTTCATCCTTCTTATCCAAAGTACCTCTGGCTCAGTTTTTCACTTTGATCTGGTTAAACCTTCAAGGCTGATGCTGGACACGCAACTAAAATAATGGTAATGGTATTGCTCCCTATGAGCTGACATCCAGCATGCCCTTTTTTAGTAATTTTCGTACGACTCCAGGATTGCATTTTATGCTAATTTTGGTTGTCTATTTGCATTCGGTGGTGGAATCTCAACCTTATCTGCAAACTGTATACTTTAATTCTCTTTTCACAGTCGAACCTTTTCTTTTAGCATCTATTGCTTATTTTTTTAACATGAGTATATTATGTCATTTCTTTCAATGGACTTATCAACTTAAATAACATTCTATTTACTTACACAAAGTAATTTCTTATTTGTGCATACATTTTACATTGCTACCATAAACCGGAAGTCTTTAAAGCATATTCTGTAAAAATAAAAAAACTGGAGCATGGGGAAGAATATGTGAGTAAATACAGTATACTTTATATATAACATTCTATTTACTTACACAAAATAATTTCTTATTTGTGCATACAATTTACATTGCTACCATAAACTGGAAGTCTTTAAAGCATATTCTGTAAAAATAAAAAAACTGGAGAAGGGGTAAGAATATGTGAGTAAATACAGTATACTTTATATATATATACCTAGTTGTTGCTTCGGGGAAAGAAAAACTTTAAATCAGTATTTTGGTAACTGATTAGGTCATCTATGCTTCAATCTGGCCCTGCTCTTCACATAAAATAGAAAATCATATGTGAGAAATGTGTGTTATTTGTTTTACAAGGACATATTGTAAGCTGCTATTAGAAAGAAATGGTATACATAATTTCAAGTTATTGGTATTAAATATAGCAGAGAGAAATGTTAGTATGATTGAAAAGGCCTCTGTTTAGTTCATGTCAACAACTACTTCCATTCAATTAGTGGAGAGCTATGAAGATGTGAAAAAAGGATTCACACATTATACTATAAAGACAAAATGTCTTTTCTAGTAATATGTTTTACTTTTAACAGCAACAGAAAAAAACAAATTAGTATGCAAGAATAAAAAACATTCTAAAATGAAAACAAATCACAAAATATTAGAGATTATAACTGATGTTTGATAACAATCATCAATGCCCAGTTTTAAAAAATCCAACTTACAAGTTAACCAATAAAGCACTTATATTTATCATTCAATGCAAAATGCTTTCATAGAGCTGGATGACTTCTCCAAATAGCAAGAGTATAAACTGCATGCCCTCATGTCGAAAAAACAAAGTAAATTTTTTTATATTTCAACACACTGATCTTTACTAAGGTTATTTAATTTTTGTTGATTTTGGCTGTGGATTTGAGACAAATAGGAGCGAATTTATCAAGAAAAATTCCAAAATAATTCTTTTCATGAACATTTTCTACCAAATCTTCTAATTCTAAGCAATGTGGTCAGAGCTCTCCTTTGAATAGTAAAATTGGTTTATGGGGTTGTTTGCAATTTTATGAGGTCACACTGTGATAAAGTTGAGTACTACTAGTATACATAAATGCCAGTTTTATTGGAATGCACTCTAGAAAGGCATGCATACCAAATGAAATAAGATCATAAGATTGGTATACACAGTAAGTTATTTGAGCATGCAAGTATGTTAAAGGCATATATTGGTTTACACACAGGGTAAGAAACTACATGAGTATGCTCATACCCATTTATACTCAAAAGTCATATTAAAACACACATCTTAATCACACATGAACAAGTTGTATGTGATAAATTTATTTGCATGAAGGCATCATTAAAATAACATGTTTACCTGCACAAACAAGTGCATTAAAGAGACAAATACTGATCCATAACAATGAGAAATGAAATGAATGTGATATAAGTAACTACTTATTCCCAGTTAAATGTGTGTTAGAAACAACATATTTTTACCTGCACTGGTGAGAAATCATAAACATGTGCTAAAATATTGCAGTTCATTTAAATTCAAAGGTCATTTAGCAATACATGTACTTTTTTACTGTTATGAAAATGTTATATGCAATAAATCATTTGCATGCAGGAGTGATTTAGCTAAGAAGTTTACTAAGAAATGCTGCCTTCGCAAGGGGATCTCTCAAATTTACTCTTCAAATGTTGCATGACTTCTGTTCTTGTCAAACTTCAGTGGATTTTCACAATTCTTTATCTAATCACCATAATGCCATTTCTTGCAAACTGTAAATACAAATAAAAAATATGTAGAATTAAAAAATAACCTTAATTTTAATTTCTGAAGTTTTATATGAATTTTCAAAACTGAACACAACCTAAAGCCAACAATTAAAGGTCACATGGAAAGAGGTTCAAATTGATATAATGTCTACTCAATCACTCTTCCTACATTGTATCTGATATTGTAGTTTCACTTCCGCAGATGAGTATTCCTGTAGCTGACAAATTGCTTAATTACATGAAAATAATTCCATCTATTCCTTGATAAAAAATTCAGAAAAAGTAGTGTTAAAACCATAAAAATAATATGAAATAACAGACATAAGAAGAATGGTTACTACCTCCATACATAAATGAACATATTAATTTGTGAGATTTGCAGCTATGAATTGTTTCACTGTTTCTGGTGGTATTTACATTCAACACATTCTTTAAAGTAGTGCTTCCCAGTACAGTAGAAAGTCCAAAATCTGGACGTCCATTATCCGGAATGATCAACAATCCAAACCTCAAAAACACCAACAACATTTTTTCTCGCATGCGTAAAGCCTAAATAAAATATCTTGTTATTGAAGAAACAATCATTTTAGCAGGGGCGTAGCTAGGGTGGGGCAAGGGGGGACATGTGTCCCTGGGCGCAGTATCTAAGGGGCGCCAGTTTGATATTATGACATTTTAGAATGAAATATTTCCTATTCTTGGCACATAGAAGGGGGTGGAAAATCTTCAGCTGCCCCCGGGCGCTGAAAACCCTAGCTACGGTTCTGCATTTCAGCATAAATTTGGAGGACCAGTAAGTTAGCTCCTTTGCTGCTTGACACATATCTCAAAACGAAAAATTCTACATATATAGCTCGTTGATCTGATGCCAACCTGGCGAATCATTATTTATTATACTTTCCTTTCATTACCATATATTTATCAAAATATGACAACTTGTGCCAGCCCTCAATAAGGCTTAATAATATGTGAGAATATATTTATTCAGAACTCTGATAAGCCTTAAGCATGTGCAAGAGATAGACATAAGTATAATAAATAACTAAACTAATACAATTCAGGCCTAATTCTCCCTGCTCAATAGAAGCAAGATAAAAGTTAATGGAACAACTTGTCACTAGTCGCTAAGCTCATGATGTTTAATGAAGGATAGCTAAATTTGAAGATGATAGCCACTAATATTAAAGGTTTTGGGATATCGCAAGCCAAAGGCAAAATTTTCCAATTAACAGATTTTGTAAAGATGCTTCTCAATCATCAATCAATTAATGAATGGCGAAAATTGTAGTATGGTTCTAGATCCAGAAAATACCACTACCGATAGTGAAGAAAGTGACAGAGAAGTTACAAAAACGAGAACATTTCGATTGACAAGTTAGTCAGAATTTTCGAAACAGCAGTTACAAGACTTCAACAATGAAACTAAACAAGAGATTATGTCTGTCTACAAAATTAAAGAGTAAGTATTATCAGAAAAAAGAAAGAAGCAACATAAACAACTTACATTGGAAGAAATGTTTAATAAGGTAAACAAATAATTATTAAGCTTTTTTTTTATAAATCATAAATACTTCATTATTTCATAAATCATGATTTCATATTTTTAATTTTATAACTTCTACATGCCATCTTACTAGATTTATACAGATGATCTAATATCCAGAAAAATCCCAAATCCGGAATCGCCGACGTCCCGACATTGTACTGTATTTTAATACAGTCGAAAGTCTTTAATCCGGACGTCCATAATAGGGACCTCAAAGCTACAAACTTTCTGCGCAATGCGTTTACGAAATCTGCTTATCAATTTAATGCTGGTCTGCGGGGGAGGACGTCGCGGTGCGCAATGAACTGGAAGTTGATCTGTCAGCACTATCCTTATCTTCAGGGCAGACGTTTTTATTTTATTCAGCTTATAATTCCTTACTAAATGTAGTATTTCATCTCGATGTACTCTGTCTTTGATATGATTTAAATCAAATTCCTCGTCATTATAAATATCATGAATACACACCAAACAGTTTTCTGGTTGCAATTTTCTAATTTCAACTATGCGCAATGTATGCTTTACGCATGCGCGCATAGAAAGAAATTTTTGCTGATCTTTAGAATATGGTAACTGGTAGTTTGGCGACATTTTGGAGGCGATAAAGGTTACTACCTAGGACTTTGGTAATAATGTGAGCAGTACTCAGTTCCGATTCCGCATTATTTTGTGTGAGGGAAATGAGAGATCATGGGATATGTCATGTGATATTAATGGACGAATTACGGTTCTTTAATCGGAAAAGGGGGGAAATCGGGGAAAAATCTGGAAATTTTGTATTTGGCTTTATTCTGTGTGTGTGAAACAGTGTTCATTAATTTTTGGATCCCATGGCCCTAACTAAAGTGAATTCGAAATGGGTATTTAGTGAGATTGAAAGGAGTAGTAATAAGTGTTTCTTTAAGGGTGTGCGAGAGAGAAGTAAAGATGTTTCATTAAGTTATTTATTTTACCTGGTACCTTGCTGTGAACTATAAGTATGATTTTAAAGATCCTGAAACAGAAATAAGAAAAGTTTATCGGACACATAATCAAGATTCTGAAGAAGATTAGGTAAGTTAGTATTTTTAATTATTTGAGGATATTATTTTTATGCATTGTTCTAAATGTAAGGTGGAAGTAAAGTAATTTGGTATTATTGGGAAAATTGTTATTAGCAATGATTTAGTTTAAAGTAATTAGGATTGTAAGCTAATTTTTATTAATTTAATGTATGTGCTTATTTATATTTTAAGTAGTGTTTTTGAATTTAATTATATTTTAATTAAATGATAGTTATTTTGTGAATTTTATGTTTGTAGGAATTTGGTATACGTTTTAGTTGAAGTAAACGTGCATGGAAAATAATTTAAATATTTGACACTAAGTATTTGTAATGCTTGCGGTATAAATTCGTTGGTGACGTTTATAATATAATAGATGATTTAGAGGTAAAAGTTTTTGGATATTTTATTTATTTTATACGTGGAAATGTTCATATTTGGAAGGGTATATACTTTTTCGTTATTAGGTAATTTCATATATGTTCTTTTTAACGGGTTTAAAGATTCAGAAAATTGTCATGCATTTTCGTGAAATTTTTCTAATTTATGAGAAAAAAGGAGTGTACATGGATATGGTGAATGAAGAGTGTGCGCAATGCCATTTTTGTGTGCAATTCTGGGATTTTTTTTTAAGTAAAAATAAGTCGATGTGTGCATGGTTTAGTGATATTTTAATTAAATGATAGTTATTTTGTGAATTTTATGTTTGTAGGAATTTGGTATACATTTTAGTTGAAGTAAACGTGCATGGAAATAATTTTAAATATTGACACTAAGTATTTGTAATGCTTGCGGTATGAATTCGTTGGTGACGTTTATAATATAATAGATGATTTAGAGGTAAAAGTTTTTTGGATATTTTATTTATTTTATATGTGGAAATGTTCATATTTGGAAAGGGTATATACTTTTTCGCGATCAGGTAATTTCATATATGTTCTTTTTACCGGGTTTAAAGATTCAGAAAATTGTCATGTATTTTTGTGAAATTGTTCTAATTTATGAGAAAAAAGCAGTGTACATGGATATAGTGAAGAGTGTGCACAATGCCATTTTGTGTAATTGTGGGATGTTTTTTTAAGTAAAAATAAGTCGACGTGTACATGGTTTATGTGTATGTGTTATTTTGAAAAACGCGTAAGGAGTATGATATTGTGCACTTTTTCCCAATTTTGCAGTGAATATTTGTCATGATTAAGCAGTTTTGTTAGATAAAATTTCTAGCATAAGTGTAATTCAGCTAGTAGATTGTTGGAAAAAGTGTTCAGTAGATAAAAGAAAAGAAAATGTCTTTACTTTCGTGAAGACAAAATGGCGGCAGGAAAAAAAAAATAGAGGGTTGCTGTAGGAGAGTTGGTCGCCAAATTTGCGCCAAAAAATCACTAAGTTACCATAATGTAAAGATCAACTGAAATTTTTAATAAAGTAAACAAATAAAAATTAAGGGTTTTTTTTCTTTTTTTTCAAATTTTGATACCCTTTAGATCATAATTGCTCTTTATTTCATAAATTACAGTTTCATATTTTTAGTTTTATAATTTTTGTATGCCATCTTACCAGATTTAAACTGATAATCTATAACCCGGAAAAACCGATAATCCGGAATCGCCGAAGTCCCGACGAGTCCAGGTTAAAGACTTTTGACTGTACAGTACAAAGTGCGGGATTGGGACGTCCAATATATGGAGTGATCTAAAATCCGGACCTCACAGCCACAAAGAACATTTCTTTTTGTATGGTTTACGAGTGCGCATTTTATACCCCCCTCGCATAATAAAACATGTGGAGGGTTCCTATTCTTAATTTCTCTTTGGCACTAAATAAAATACCTCGTTATTGAAGAAACAACCATTTTAGCAAAAATTTGTTTCTTGAATAATTTGACTCTGTAGCTGCCAAATTGCCTGCTTGGTTTACATCTGAAAACGAAACATTCTACATAGATACATTGTTGAATTTACACTTACTAATATTTTATATCCCTTATGCCAACCTGGCAAATCATTATTTATTATATTTTGCTTTCATCACCGCTTGTTTATCATCACATGACAACTTGAGTAATGACTCATATAGCAATGCCTAAACAATTTTATTTTTATGTTAGTAATTGAATAATGAAGAATATGGTAGCCTTGTATGGTGGCATTATGTTTGGTGATGATTAGAGATTTAAGTTAAATGTGCTAAGAAATGTGGATGAGGAAAAATTTCTTTCCATATGCTAAAAATGGATTTTGTTTATGATACTCGTAGGTCAAAAGCTTACATTTAGTGATCTCTGAATCACGAATAACTGATTTCTCATTCACATATACCCAGAACCAGTGCCAGGGCTCATATGGGCGCAACAGGCAGCACAATTTAGCGAAGACAAAGAAAGATGCTGGGTAGCAGAATTTAGGCCCGCAAAGACTGCATCAGCCAGATATTTTGCACCGGCCCTCCATAAGCCTTATGGGAATTTATTTATTAAGGACTTATATAAGCCTTAAGCATGTGCAAGAAATAGACATAAGTATAATAAATAACTAAACTAACACAATTCAGGCGTAACTGTCTCAGTGCTCAATTAAAGCAAGATAATATTTAGCCAAACAACTTGTCTTTAGTCGCCAATCTCATGATACATAGTGAACGATAGCTGAATTTTATGATGGTAAGCACGAATTTTAAAGGTTTTCGGATATCACAAACCAAAGGTGAAGTTTTCCAGTTAATGGATTCTGAAAAGAAATGTGGAGAACAGGTAATAAATGAAGATGTATAAATGACGTTTTTCCTTGTGATGACAATGCTCCTCAGTCATCAATCAATTAATGTATCGTGAAATCTACAGTATTGGTTCTAGATTCAGAAAATACTGCTACCGATAGTGAGGAACATGACAGAGAGGTTACCGACAACTAAAAACTTCTGATTGACAAATTAGTCAGAATTCTCGACACACTAATTACAGCACTTCAGCTATGTAACAGAACAAGAAAATATGTCTGCCTACAGAATTAAATAGAAAATATTAGCACAAAAAAATGAAGCAACTTAAACAACTTATATTAAAAGAAGTGTTTAAATTAAACACAATGTATATTGAAAGACATGTTTAAAGTAAACAAATAAATAAATATTAAGCTTTTGTAAATTTTGATGCTCTTTAGATCATAAATACTTCATTATTTCATAAATCACAATCTCATATTTTTAATTTTATAATTTGTGCTTGACATCTTACTAGAATAACACTGATATTGATGATCTAATATCCGAAAAAAATCCCAAATCCGGAATAATGGAAATCCCGATGAGTCCAGATCTCGGACATAGTACTGTTGTATATCAGTAGACAGCACATTATGGTACTTTTTTTTCTTTTTTTATGGTCTTCTAAAAAATTTCAGATTTATCTTTTCTTCTCTTGCTTAAAGGCATTGTGCTCCCTGAAGTACATGAAATAGAAGGAATAAAAGGAATGCAAAGCATAATAGAACCCCACATAGTAACCCTAAAAGACTCCACATAGTAGCAAAATAAATAAATAAATAAATAAATAAAATAAATAAATAACAAAAAGAATTTAAAGAGATATCTGAAACACGAACATTTATATCTCGTGGCGAGTTAAAAAGATGAGTTCTGTTTGTTTGCATTACGCTTTGCCTCCTCTCTTGCAACAGCTGACACCAATGCTACACAGAATGTGATCAAACTGAAGGTCAGGATCCTAAAACTATATACAATTAAAAAACAATTGACACAGGATGTCATCTAGTAGCCTTTAAAACGTGTTTCAGCTTAAAATGCATATATGCATCACCAGTCCCTTACATTAGTTCTCCAGTGACGCATGAGCTCGATACCCAGCTATGAGAGACTTTTGTAGGGAATGCATACATGAGACCCCTGCTCTCAAAGGGTTCAAATAATGGATCATTACACATATAATTTATAGCATTAATTCCAAAATAATATTAGGATTGTTATACATTAAAAGCTACACAAAACATATGTTTCGTAGCAATAACACACAGTAAAATATTTGCATGCTTTTTTCTAATCTGAAAAATCTCCTAATATTTTAGCTCATATACAGTTATCTTCTTTTAGCACATTTTCTAAGTTTGTTTGTCTCTATAAATAAATCAGTGTTCTTATTAGTTTCTGCTTCATCTCCTAATTTGTCTGTATTCCAATAATGTATTTTGAAGAATATTTTTTTTTTTTTTTTTTTTCTTTTTCAGTTTCATCATTTTCTTTTCCCTTTCTTCATATTAGAATTTTCAGACTTAATTAAAAATTGATGTTATTCTAAAAAGCTACATGTACTTAGAATGTATGAAAGATACTACTTATTTTTTTCTTCAATAATTTTAACATAAATATAAATGATATGGTCAAGGCCAGCTGGAGAAATTTTAAAATTTAGTAAAGCAGAAAACAGCCAAACTTTGGGATGATATAATTTTAAAATTTAGTACAGGAACACAGATTTTAGAGACTGCAAAAAGTTTAGAATTTAACAAAAGATTAGGCAGCAGAATTTAGAACCCACAGAGATTATACCAGTGTTGACTCTGCAGGCCACTGACACAACTTCATATTATCTTTATTAGCAGTAAAACTATTATCTTTATTAGCATATTATCTTTATTAGCAGATAGCTGCCCATATGATAACATTAGAACCAATTTTGCAACTTTCTGTACTTGTGTCTAATGAAAAGAAGAGAAAGTGAAGAGAACATAAACATGTTAAGAGAATAACCTTTCAGAATCAAAAGTAGAAAATTCAAGCAATTTTGCTTTAAATGTTATTCAAAAAATAAGATATTCATCACAAATTTTTCAATAAATATGTTCACTAAACAATAATACCAAGAATATTTAAATCATTTTGTCACACTTTTTAGGAATCATATGCATATGCCTTCAAATCCTAAGGTTCCAAGTTCCAAAATCGAAAAGAGAAAGCATCCCTATAAACTTTCTATCAGCAAACAAACAGAAGATTTTTTTAATTTAAAAAATAGAATAAAAGGAATCAGAAAAGTGTAAACTGAATTTTACAGAAAATGTGGAGCAGAGAAAACTGCTCCACATTTAATATTCGAAAACAATTAATTACACAGGATCTAGTTATCATTAATAAAATATACGAGAAGACGAATGAAACTAATCTTAAAATAATTACAGTAACTTTTTGGGTTTTGCTCAGCACTTCTGAAACTTCCATACTTTTACTATTTTATTTTTCAGAGCCAAAATATTCCCGAGTTCCCAAAATAGAAAATAATTTCATAACATATGACAGCAACAAATAAAAAGGAATTATTTTAGCTTTCTTTACTATTACATGAAAAAATACAAAACAGTTTTCAAAATAAATATCAATTTATACATAGATTTCTTACCTGCAGAGAAATGATGTTTCTCAAATTTCTTTTTATATGCATTAAACAGCTGGCATTCCTATAATTTGGTATGTTCAAAATTTGACTGAAAAAGTATGAGATTTCATTTCGCCTTTCTAACATTGCTGTGGAACACTGCACTAATTTTGTGGACATTATACTCTGACGCATTTGATAATGGAGCAGGATAGGCATGGTCTTCAGTAATTGTTCATGACGAATGAAAACAACTAATAAATTTTTCATGACAGGCATGAAGAATGATATTTCTACCTGTGATGGCACACTGCAATTTGTATCAGCATGAAATTCAGAAACAGTAAACACATATAACTTAGAGCATACATGTTAGATGAAATATTTAGCCACCTTTTACAATTTCAGATTCTGAAGTTCTTATCCACACTTCATTACGCAGCAGATATAAACATTGAACACTTATTATCATGTAAAAATAACTTGAAAAATATTTCATTTTGGGAAAACAAATTAATGCTTTATAATTTATTTTCACCAAATGAGAATTCCTGTTTCTCCTACAGGGTGACCTGTAGGCTTTATGCTATTCAAATTTGCCTCTTTAAATTCTATGAATTTTGCTCTTTTTAAATTCTGTCAACTGGTGAGAAAAATCCAGACTTGACATCAAATATTCAGATTTTCTAGCTACGCAGATTATTGCTTACTGCAAAGGTTAAGTAAAAATTGTTTCTAATATATATTCTAAAGACAGGCGGTTTCTCTTCTGTGTAGCTAAGAGATACGTTTCTTCAACTTCTTTATCACCCTAAATGACTTGTTACATACGTAACTCATAAATGCTCTTCATGAAAATAAATGAATATTTACATACCACGCACACAAATTTTCTCTCCAGTGTGACTAAGCATATGCTTGTTAAACTACACATTTGAGTAAACGTCTTACTACATATGAGGGTTCTCGGCTGTATGCATATGTGTATGCAAATTTAAAAAAAAAATTATTTAACAGATTTCACTCTAATTAGGTTTCTGCCCTTTGTGAATGGCTGTTTAAATGAGCTTTTCAATTAAATGACATCTTACATACATCACTCATATAAGGTTTCTCCCCTGTGAGAAAATAATGCTTGTTTAAACTATCCTTTACACTAAATATCTTACATATTTTGCACATATGAGGTTTCTACCCTCTGTGAATATGCATATGCCTCTTTAAACTACCATTTTCACTAAATTTCTTGTTACATACTTCACACATATAAGGTTTCTCTCCCGTGTGAATACGCATATGGTTCTTTAAAATAACCTTTATTCTAAATGTCTTCTTACATACTTCACACATAAAGGGTTTCTCTCCTGTGTGAATGCGCATATGGTTGTTTAAAACACGTTTTCGATAAAATGATTTCTTACATACTTCACATATATAACGTTTCTCTTCTGTGTGAATAAGCATATGCTCGTTTAAACTACCCTTCCGATTAAATGTTTTCTTACATACTTCACACATATGAGATTTCTCACCTGTGTGAATAAGCATATGCATGTTTAAACTACGCTTTACACTAAATGCCCTGTTACATAGTTTGCACATATGAGGTTTCTCTCCTGTGTGAATACGCATATGCACATTTAAACTACCACTTTCACTAAACGTCTTGTTACATACTTCACACATATAAGGTTTCTCTCCTGTGTGAATATACATATGTATGTTTAAATGACTTTCTTGATGAAATGACTTCTCACATATTTCACATATATAACGCTTCACTCCTGTGTGAATAAGCATATGCTGGTTTAAACAACCCTTTCGACTAAACGCCTTCTTACATACTTCACAAACATAAGGTTTCTCTCCTGTGTGAATACGCATATGCACGTCTAAATGACCTTTTTGCCGAAATGATTTCTTACATACTTCACACATATAAGATTTCTCACCTGTGTGAATAAGCATATGTATCTTTAAACTACGCTTTACAGTAAATATTCTCTTACATAGTTTGCATATATGAGGTTTCTCTCCTGTGTGAATGCACATATGCTTGTTTAAACTATGCTTTTCAGTAAATGTCTTCTTACATACTTCACACATATCAGAGTTCTCTCTTGTGTGAATACGCATATGAATGTTTAAATTAGTTTTTACCCTAAACATCTTCTTACATACTTCACACATATAAGGTTTCTCTCCGGTGTGAAGAAGCATATGCTGGTTTAAATAAGTTTTTCGATAAAATGATTTCTTACATACTTCACATATGTAACATTTCTCTCCTGTGTGTATAAGCATATGCTGGTCTAAACTACCCTTTCGCCTAAATGACTTCTTACATACTTCACACATATGAGGTTTCTCACCTGTGTGAATAAGCATATGCATGTTTAAACTATGTTTTGCACTGAACTTCTTGTGACATACTTCACACATGTAAGGTTTCTCTCCCGTGTGAATAAGCATATGGTTCTTTAAAATAACTTTTATTCTAAATGTTTTCTTACATACTTCACACATATAAGGTTTCTCTCCTGTGTGAATACGCATATGCATGTTTAAAGTAGATTTTCGATTAAATGATTTCTTACATACTTCACACATGTAAGGGTTCTCTCCTGTGTGAATGCTCATATGCATGTTGAAATGAGTTTTTTGATTATTACACAAATTTGATTATTACATTTTTTTCCTAACTAGGTAAATAAGCATATGCATATTTAAATAAGCTTTTCGCTTAAATGACTTTTTAATTGATTTAAATGAAAAGATAGTTCAGATCTTGGTGTTGGTGCTAGTAGAGTTAATGGTGAATAACCAGCAAGGTTATATACTCCAAACAAGGTACTTTATACAAGGGTAGCTTTCGTCCCAATTAAAGTTAATATGAAGCACAAATCTAATAGAAGCAATAGTGAAGTTAAAAAACCCAAATGAAATAATAAAATGAACACTAAGAAGAAAGGTATTAAAAGTCAGCAAATGATATGCAACAAACGAAGAAGCACATAAAATTACACTCTAATAAAAGCTAAATCAAATTATATAATATTAACCTTTTTTTTTTTTTTTTTTTTTTTTCAGGTATAGAAATACATTAGAACTAGCCTCTTTCCGGATTAAACGGTCAAGAGGCAAGTCACACTTGTTCAAATGCTTCAGTTTAAGTCTACTAAAATTCGAACACTCTATTATATATTGATAACAACGCAGAGATAAAATGATTATCAAAAACAGAACAGATTGTCTGACCCTCTTCCTTTGAGTAAGCCGCTGGTTCAAGAATCACTTTTGATCATAACCGGGTTTTTCCCTTACCTGGGAAAGGGAGAAGGGAAAAGAGATTTTGAATATAGGGAAATTTGTAGTCAATAGTATTTTTTTTTTTTTTCCTTTGAGAACATACAGACTCCCCGTGCATCACATATGTACAACACGGGGCTAGTCAATAGTATTGTTTGTATTTCGTAGTTTGTGAAATATTATGTCTTTTTAATATATCTTCTGAATTAATTAAGCGGCTGTTTTCAGGGCAAAATAGTTTTCCCGCATCGGAAGATCAGCCATACCTTCCGAAAGAATTGAAATTTCTTTTTGAGGCCCAAATATTCCTGAAATGGAAAATCAACAGTTGAAAAGTTTTTCTTTTGTGGATTGTGGGAAAAGATATTCTACAATTTTAAATTTAAGCAGACACATAGCAAATCGTTATCCCGCAAAATTGCAGGACTTAAAGCGCAGGAAGTAATGCGAATTTAAATGTTGTAGTTGTACACGTCAGTTCAACAATCTATGCCATTTAAAATCTCATGGACGGCAGAAACATACATTAGCCTCAGTGCCCCAGTATCAATTCCATAAATGTATACTGTGCAATGCCTATCTTGATAAGCAAAATATTATTTAACATTTCGAACTTGATCATGATATAAGAATAGATGAACTTTTAGAATTTTCATCATAAGAGGCCTTTTATTATTGGAAAGGAAGTATTGAGAAAGACAAGCATTCAAAATTTATTGTCGAAAGCATAAAAAAATCCAGCAATACTGCATATTACTCTTTTATTTGCCATGTATCTGGTATGTTTAAATCTAAAATTCAAGGAAAGAGACATTTTTTAGTACAGAATACTGTTAAGATAAATGGATTTTGCCCATCTAGCATTAAAGAAGGTGATGGTAAATTTAAGGGAACGTTTATGAAAACTGATATTGGACATAAAAATGATATTCGATAAGTATCAGTATCAAATAGTGAAAAGGATCTTATGGGCAGAAAAATTCTTTCAGGCATATAATTTATTAACATTTTAGATGAAATACGTGATTCTGTTTCAGGTTCTCAATTGATAAGTTGCGTTTATTGACGAAAAAAATCTGCATAATATCGAACAATCATATAATCTATGTTCAGATTGAGTCGAGCGTAAGGAGGATTCCCTTAGCTTGGAAGCATGGATTATTGATATAGAAAGCATGGATGATTCGTGTGTCTTATTTTATAAACGACAAGGAAGTATGTTGGGTGTTGGGTGTTTCAAAACTTGTCGTTCAAATTTCGTAGACGTCAGGAAAGCACAGAAAAGTGTGTACGCAAATGTACGCGAGGGCGCTGGGTCTACCCAACCAGTGAACGGCTCGCCCGACCACTCCCGCTGTCATCAGTGTGAGAGCTAACTTACTAGTGTTGAGCTAAATCGTTTTACGCATTAAGAGCTAGCGGATATGCATCTCGCATATGGAACGGCTCGCAATAGCGGCCGAGCTAGACAAGTTTAGGAAGATCTATATAAGGCTCCTATATAGCTATATAAGGCTCCTATATAGCTATATAAGGCTCCTATGTACAGTAGGTCACAAAAGTATTCGAACACCGGTACCCATTCAGAAAATTTACTTTTCCGTTGAGAAACAAAATTGTCTCCAGAGTCTATCTTGGTTCGATAGAAAAAAAAAAAAAAAAAAAAAAAAAAAGGATGGCTCATGTCCAAAATTGGCTAGGTGCATGAAACAAAATACAACATGACCTATCTGGGTGAGATGGGAAACAAAATGGCTGCTCACGTAATCCATTATTGCGCTCATAGAAAACGCAAAGTGTCGCTGCGGCTCGTCTCGGTTCGCGAAGAGTGAAAACCCAAAACGGTCTGCAGTGTCTATCTTTGTTGGATGAGAAAACAAAAGGATGGCTCATGTCCAGTTTATTTAGGTGTGGGAAAAAATATAACGTGACCTATCTGGATGAGATGTCTCCAGCGATCCAGTATAGACTTTTTCCCCATCTGCAATAGGTGACATCTATAAACAATTCCATTGAAATCTCCTCGAAATATAAGAAACAGCTAGCTCGTGAAATTGTAAGGTATTCCCAAAGAATTCCACTTCTTGAAGAAGGAAAAACATCCTAGCTGCAGATGAGGTAGAGAGAGAAAAAGCATGTTGCACCATGGAGAGCCCGCACGGTTCTGAACAGAAAACGTGGAATGCTTTTATAGAAAAGAGTTGAAAGTGAAAGTAAAAGCCGATTGGAAATTTTTCACTTGGTTGCCGACTGGGAAAAAATTTTCAGAGCTCAGAAAAAAAAAAAATCTGAGATGTAAAAAAAAAAAAAAAAAAAAAAAAACTTTTTGTTAATTTTTATCATGTCTTCTAGACATGATAAAAATTAACCCTACCCCCCTTTTGTGTGGGAATGTTGTCTCACTGTTTCTAAAAATAGACCATGACTCATTCTAGGAATTATATGTTTTAGAAAGGATGAGTCATAGTCTTTGGGTTTCTCCATTCCAAAAAGTAAACAAAGTGAAGACATCAAATTAATAGAAAAAAAAGGAAGAGTTTTTTTTTTTTTTTTTTTTTTTTTCAGCTCTGGAAATATTTTTCCCATTCAACAGCCAAGAAATATTTCCAGCCAATACAATTTCATTTTTACTTTCACTTTCAGTTCATTTCTTATATCTATAAAAACATTTCATATTTCTGTTCAGATCAGTGTGGGTTGTTCAAGATGCAGCAACTCTACTCCATCCCACAACCAGGAAAAAAAGATGTGTTCTTTCATGAGGAATTCTTTTGGCTTTCGAAAACAATGATGACATGATGATTGTAATACATTTCTGTTCTCATGTCCCATGCTTGAACTCAGAATTATTTCCAGAGCTCTGAGAATTTTTCCTAGTCCACTCGATGACCCAAATTTCGTATATTTATTTAAGCCACTCGAGTTTCGACTTCCCATCCGTGTGTGCTGTGCATTCAACCTGGAGACACATTCCCTGAGCTCTAAGAAAATTTTCCGAGCCCACTCAATCGCTGAAATGGATTTAAAATAAATTGTTTCATACATTTTTAAAGCTCAAGAGTGTTAGGTGTCATGGAAAGAGCCTTTTTTTTCCCTGAGCTCTAAGAAAATGTTTCCCAGCCCCCTCAATCGCTGAAATGGATTAAAAATAAATTCTTTCATACATTTTTAAAGCTCAAGAGTGTTAGGTATCATGGAAAGAGCTTTTTCTTTCCACAGCCCACTCAATCGCTGAAATATATTTAAAATAAATTATTTCATACATTTTTAAAGCTCAAGCGTGTTAGCTGTCATGGATGAAATGAAATTTAAAATAAATTGTTTCATACATTTTTAAAGCTCAAGCTCAAGCGTGTTAGTTGTCATGGAAAGGGCCTTTTTTTCCCAGCCCACTCAATCGCTGAAATGGATTAAAAATAAATTCTTTCATACATGTTTAAAGCTCAAGCGTGTTAGCTGTCATGGAAAGAACCTTTTTTTCCTTAGCCCACTCAATCGCTGAAATGGATTTAAAATAAATTGTTTCATACATTTTTAAAGCTCAAGCGTGTTAGCTGTCATGTATGAAATGGATTTAAAATAAATTGTTTCATACATTTTTAAAGCTCAAGCGTGTTAGCTGTCATGGAAAGAGCCTTTTTTTTCCCCAGCCCACTCAATCGCTGAAATGGATTAAAAATAAATTCTTTCATACATTTTTAAAGCTCAAGCGTGTTAGCTGTCATGGAAAGAACCTTTTTTTCCCCAGCCCACTCAATCGCTGAAATCGATTAAAAACAAATTCTTTCATACATTTTTAAAGCTCAATCGTGTTAGCTGTTATGGAAAGAGCCTTTTTTTTTTCCCAGCCCACTCAATCGCTGAAATGGATTAAAAATAAATTCTTTCATACATGTTTAAAGCTCAAGCGTGTTAGCTGTCATGGAAAGAGCCTTTTTTTCCCAGCCCACTCAATCGCTGAAACGGATCAAAAATAAATTCTTTCATACATTTGTTTAAACCTCAAGACTCTTAGCTGTCATGGAAACTGAAATTTATGTCACGGTTTGTGTGTCACACGTCGTCAACGGTATGATTTGAGGTGAAAATTGAAAACCCGGTATGAAAAATCTCTTTAACTTCACTTTAGAAGAAGGTGTGTGGGATAGAGAGATTTCGTCATGGGAAAATCTTTCAATGTCCGTCTGATGAAATCCAAACGAGGGGTCCTAGCTTTTCAAATGGGAAACATTTTCCCCTAAACGGAGGAATGATTTCTATTCTGTGAGACGTCAAAAATTGGAAAAAAGCTTGTGTTCACAGAAGCTCTTTCTAGAAGAGTGGTCCTGGGTCCAGATGAGGTAGAGAAGAGAAAAAGCATGCTGCACCTTGGACAGCCCGCACGGTTCTGAACAGAAAACGTGTAGAATACTTTTATAGAAAAGTGTTGAAAGTGAAAGTAAAAGTCGTCTTGGCTGGAAGAATTTTCACTTGGTTGCCGGCTGGGAAAAATTTTTCAGAGCTCAGAAAAAAAAATTCTGAGATGTAAAAAAAAAAAAAAAAAAAAAAAACTTTTTGTTAATTTTTATCATGTCTTCTAGACATGATAAAAATTAACCCTACCCCCTTTTGTGTGGGAATGTTGTCTCACTGTTTCTAAAAATAGACCATGACTCATTCTAGGAATTATATGTTTTAGAAAGGATGAGTCATGGTCTTTGGGTTTCTCCATTCCAAAGTAAACAAAGTGAAGACATCAAATTAATAG